TTTTTCCCCCCCCTTTTTTCCCGTTCCCTTTTTTTGGGGGCGGAAAATATCAGGCCCCCCCAAAAATATTTTGGTTCATGGGGGGGGCTTTGTGTTAATCCTTTGGTAAAACTTTTTCCTTTGGGGCCCCCTTTTTGGACCCGGGTTTAGGAATTTTCCCCGTGAAATTTTAGGGGGGGGGAACCCCCCACCCCCCCCCCGGTTTTTGGGGGCCCCCCCTTTCGGTTTTTTTTTTTCCCTTTCCCAAATTTTTTGGGGGGCCAAAGGTTTAACCCGTAAGGGCAGCAAAAAAAAAGGGGTCCCCCCCCCCCCCCCCCCCCCACCGCCGCCGCCGTCTCTCTTCTCACAGCCGGGGTGCACGATCCAGCCGGTCTACGGCTACCTCCCGGGGTCCGTCCCCGGGACGTCTCCCAACGAAGACGAAAAGTTCTTGCCCAAGTACTGCGCCGGGCACAAGAAGGACGGCATGGTGAGCCAGAAGCGCTCGTGCTGCGCCAAGAGCCGGTGTTACCGGAGGCCGTCGTTCGGGATGCCGGGGGAGAAGGGGAAGTTCTGCGTGGAACACAAGGCAAGCAGTTTTTTTTTTGCGTGCCCCCAGTGGTGGAGGGATGGGGGGGGCGGGGGGTGCTCATGGTTCGCATGCCTTCGTTGTTAGACCATAACCGCGCGTCTTTGAGAGGACGGATCGTTAAGCTAGGGTGCGCGCACGCGCGCGGGGGGGGTACTCTTGTGTTTTGCATGCCTTAGCGGTTAGACCATTGACCACAGAGGGCGGAAAGTTAATCTAGGGGAGGGGGGATGTCGTTTCCCGTCTTTTCTTTTCTGCGTTGCTGTTGTCGTCGGCGTCGTTGCTGGTACGGTGTTTCTGCTGCATTTTTGTCGCATACCACACGCCGGTGCTGCTGCTGCTGCTGCTGCTGCATGTTCTCACGGTCGCTGTTGCTGCTCTATGCTATGTAGCATTTCGCATTGAGACTATTTCTCGCCGTCGTCCTGTGGGTGCTATGTTGATTCCTCCCCGTGTGTAATGACGCTGACGCTGTGCTTGGAGAGGTTGACCGTTCTCGCCTGGGATAACCCTCGGGTAGCGCAGCGTTTCGCTTCATGATTTTTTCCAATCTCACGCAGGGTAAGTGTCATCGCGTTTGATGAGGCTCTTCGGAGTCCATTATTATTGATTTCTTAGGCAGAGCGTGCCCTTTTTCTGGGGTAGGTAGTTGGCCTGTGACCGCGGAAGGCGAACTCGTCCGTTGGCCCGGTACGGATGCTAAAAGGCACTGAGCTGAGACCGGAAAGTTTTTGTAATGCGAAGACAACAACAACAGCAATAACCTAGGTGTTACGCGTGCGTTGTGGAAGGGAAAGTGAGATGCACGAAAAGAGTCGGTGCTACGGCAAGGCCTCCGTTTCGGATGCTACATACCGGAACGGCAGACGGGGGGGGGGCTTCGCAGATGGGACAGAACATAGAACGAGCGAGCGTCGAACCAAGCTTTTTTTCTGCGCCTGTACCCCCTCACCGCAAACCACAGGTGGAAGGGATGGTAAAGGCGGAGCATTCGCAGCGCCTCCGCCGAGCCCGGCCCGCCAGGGCCAATGGCACGCCGGAATCGCCGGTGGCCGTTCCTCACCAGACTACCGCCGCGGACGGCCAACCGGCGGAAGCGACAACGGTCAGCGGGGCAGCGGGCGACGGCGGGAGCGCCATCGCGGCGGCGGCAGCCGCCGCCGCCTCAGCGATAACAGCAGCGGCGGCGGTGGCGGCGGCGGCGGCGGCAGCAGGGACCCCGCAGCCTCCTGCTTCATCGACAATCCCTCCCCTGGGGGCACCGGCGGCGCCGCCTTCCGAGACGCAGCAACGCCAGAATGGAGTCGCGACAGTTGAAGGAGGAGGGGAGGCTGTAGACCGAGGGGGAAATGGCGGCTTCGAGAGAGGAGCTAGCAGAGGGGAGGTTACCGACGACGAGGAACAGCAGCGAAGACCTGCCTCCGCGGCAGTGGTGGCGGCGGCGGCGGCGGCGGCGCAGGCGGTGGCGACCGTTAGCGGCGGTAGTCGTGCTGTCGAGGAAGCCGGCGGCGGGGCGGGGACGCCGGGACGGCTGGGGCAATCGTCGCCGCTGCCGCAGCAGCATCACCCACGACACCAGCCCCCGCCCCAGTCGCAGCTGCCGCTACCTCTCCCTCACCCCCAGGTTGCGTTCCCGCCGCCGCGTGGTCACTCCCAGCAGGACTCTCCGCATCAACAACACCAGCACTTCCAGCAGCAGCAACAGCAGCAGCAGCAGCAGCAGGCTGAGCATCACCATCGAAGCCAGCAGTTGCCGCCTCTGTCTGCAGCAGCGCAAGGCGGCGGCACCGGAAGCAGTGCCTCGACCCGCTTTTCTCATCATTCGTAGTTTAGACCCCCCCGCCAAGGAGGGAGGTAGTAGGTGATTTGATTGCTCGGTGCCACCCAGACCCCCTCAACCATGCCTAGCCAGCTTTTCAGCGCGAGGATCCCAGGGAGATGACCCTTGCGACGGCACCTGCGGCAGAGGAGAGAGCGTATGGTGATTGTATCCGTCGCCGGGGTCTTGTTTTGTTGATTGTGGTTCTTGAGGAGATTTTACCGGCAACTGTTTTGTCGCGCTTTCTTTTCTGTCTTTGTCGCGCGTGTACGGTGCGCTGCTGCTTTGTATATATGGTGGATACGTACGTGGTATATATTGTTTTTCGTGCATTTTTTCATCCCCTGTTGGGGACCAACGAGAGTGGGAGAAGATGGCAAGAGCAAGTGGCCCAGCCGTGCCGATGCAGTTGAAAGGGTGTAAGTGGTAAGGTTTGAGTGGCACCTCGTCACGTTTTAGAAAGGTTTTACGTGTTTCCAGACGTGGGGTGGCCCCCTCAACCGGTCTCGTCCATGCCCTCTTGCGGTTGTGATTTCCATGACCTGGGATTTCCGCGCACACGTGCGGAAAGTCGCTGCTCTGCCGAACGAAGTGGTCGCTTACCGTAAGGGGATACTCTTGCTGTTATTGGCATGTATTGGGGGAGGCTATTTAGAAGCTGATAGTAGAAAAGTGCCTGCAAACGCAAGACGTTGTTCGTGCGGACTTGACTCTTACGCGATTTGTTGCTAATCCAATCCTTCGATGCGCACAAGAAGCATTCCGGGGCGTGTGGCTAACCACGATTTGGGTTGCTGAACGCCCTCCACCGTTGGTAGATGCGCTGAGAAACGAGAAACCATAAGTCACGACGTGGACCGCTATGTTCGGCCTGAGGATATCAACAGCAATGACAAGTTTCCCGCAAAGCTCGTCGATTCCCCGCCTGGCAACACAAGCAAGGCCTCCACCCGCCGCGCCGCCAAAGAGAAAACGCCCCCGCCCCCATTAAATCAACTCCCTCCTCGCTTGTTAGTTTGCTTCGGATGAATTGTCCGCCCATTCAAAACGCGCGCGAACGACCCTTCAACAACAGTTTCCCCTTGAGCAAACTTCCTCGACATGTGTTCTCCCATCAGGACCTTGCGGTTGGCCTCTAACAATCCCGCTACGAGCGAGTTCCGCTGACGACCCCCGTCGCCGCCCCCCCACCTCGATACCCCGGAACCCTCCTCTAACACATCAACACGGTTGCTCGGCCGCCTCGGCCTGTTGTTTTCCTTGTACTGGCCGTCGTCGTTCTCCTCACCACAAGCCCCAACCGCACGCCGCCGCAAACCCGGGGACGCGCTCGCTTCATCCCCGCTTCTGCGGCCGCCTCGCCTGCTCCCGGCCGCGCCGGACGGAGTCCCATCGTAGGGTTCCCGTGGATCCAGCCCGCCGCGGTGGTAGCACAGGAGGGGAGGCGGCGGGACGCTCCTCTTCGCCGCTAACAGCTGAAGGTCGACGAAGCGACGGTTTCGCTCCGCTTCGGCCGCCGCCGCCGCCCGCCCGGCCGCCTCCCGCCCCGCCGCCGCCCGCCGGTCCGCGGGATGGGTCGCCGCCCAGTCCGCGAACCGGAGGACGGCGACGACGTACGGCCTGAGCGCCCCAACGCCGCAGTCACCACCGGCGGGAATGTTACCCCCGCCGCTCCTCCCGCCGAAGCTTCCTCGCCGGTCCAGCGAGCGCCTGGTCAGGCGCAGCACCGTCCCGTCCGCACGGATACACTCGACCTCCCGGTCTTCTTCCTCCTCCTCCTCGTCATCGTCTGAACATCCAGGCCCGACCACCGCTGTCGCGACACCCCCACGCCCTCCGCTGCCGGAGTAGGATATCCCTCCGCCGCCCCCGCCGCCCACGCCGCAGCGGGACCCTCGAAGCGGGCGGTAAAAAAACGGCGCCCCCAGGCACACGATGGTGCGGTCCGCGAAGGTCCCCCGCGCCCGTCCGTCCGCGAACGCGACGAACGACGCGCCCCCGCGTTCCACCGATTCCACCACCGATGGGGACCCTGCCGCCATCCTTCCTCGCGATGAAGATGATCCCAGCCACCGAGCCCCTCCTTCTTCCGGCGGGGCGTAGGGTTTGTTGGTGGGTCGTGGCGCGGCAGCGTTCCGCACGACGGCCTCAACCGGCGATGACGACGATGACGGCGAAGAAAGCGCCGACGGCGGTTGTACAACAACGAGCGACGGCCTGATCTTGACGGTGACTTGGGGCTCTCCCGGCCCCCTTCTCCCGGCCGCCGCCGCCGCCGCCGCCGCCGGGTTGCCGCTACACTGCAAGAACTGCTGCCGCAGCGCGATGGCTCTAGAGGCGATGTTGCCGAGGGACATGCTCGTCCACCCACCACCTGCTTCCGCCGCCGCTGCTGTCATCGCCGGCACACCCTGATGGATGCCAGGAGCGCCTACAGCGCTCGCCGCAGCAACAGCGGCGGTAGCAGGGCGACCGACCGGGTGTTGCTCCGCACGCGGGCTCGTCACTCGAAAGCGGACCGTGCTCGCCGCCGACACGTGCAGGAGTCGCTGCTGCTGCTGCTGCTGCTGCTGCCGCTGTGGCCTCGGCGGTTGTTGAGCCGCGGCGGCGGGAGGGCGAACCAGGCGGACGAAGTCGCCCTCCAGCCAAACCTCGCTCCCGTCGGCATGGACGACCACCTGCGATTTTGGGAGGGGAGGGGGGGGGGGTGGGGGGGCGTACCCTTATCTTTTGCATGCCTTCGGGGCTAGACCATTGACCACGGGCCCTCGAGAGGGCGGAGCAAACGCGGTGGGCGGGGCGTGTACTAATGTAAACACGTGCCGTAGTCTGAAGACCGGCGGTGCCGGGACGGAGCGATACGACGGGTTTTTGCCGGCCCAGGCTACGCGGCGGTGGGGGAAAGGAAAGAAAAAAAAAGGTTCTCGCAAATGGAACCGGATGGATTGATCATGTTTGGGGGAAGAGAGGACGGGACAGGCATTCCTTTACTCATGAAGGAGAGTATGAGATGTAAAACGAGTACATTGTCGTGGAAAAAAGAGTCTTGGCTGCTGTGATGTATAGATCGTTGTTGAAGAAGGGTATATGTGTTTGCTGCAAAAATAGATCGTTGTTGAAGAGTATTTTCAGCCATAGTGCAGATTGCTGCGAGGCTCTCTCTGAGACGCGTCGCCGAGAGCCTTGCGAACCTTCTCGACGACTGCAGTTCGTGTGTCACTTTTGCACACCCCCACGGCGACCACACCTCACGCACCCCAACAGGAACAAAGGCTACTCACGTGTACGCCAACGCCGCCCTCTCCCACCCCCCGATGCACCCCCAGCAGCAAAAAAAAGCTACTCACGTGTACGCCAACGCCGCCCTCTCCCGCCCCCCGATGATGCCCTCCACCACCGACCACAATCCGGTACGTGCAGCACCCCGTCGATTCCACCACGGCCGCCAGCTCCCCCGCGTACCCTTGGCCTCCCGCGAGCTTCATCACGTCCACGGACAGGAGACGGCCACCGGCTGCGGCAGCAGAAGCACTAGCGGTAGCGGCGCGGGTGGCGAAAGTCGGGGCGGCACCGTCGCACCACCGCCGGTCGCCGTAGTACCCCAGCGGTGCCAGGGGGTCCCGGTGGCTGTCGAGGCTAGGCCCTTGCTGAACCGTGTCCCAACTGTTGGGCAGGGAAGGCGAATGGGGAGGGGATAAGCAGCCTGAGGTCGGAGAGGCACGCATTGGTGGCGAGGTCATTCGTTCATTGGTTGCCCATATTCGAGGCATCACCACGCGTTGGGAGCCCCTGAATTCTCAGGGCAGGTTCTTTTTACACCCACACACACACGTTTTCAACTCGTATGATGCCCGATATGTTTCACGCAACACACAAAAAACAAACGTTTATTCCAATACTTTTCTCGTGCCAAATCCCGCTGACGAATTCGAAGGTGTGTACACGAAAAACACAAGCTATTCTAGTCGCTTTTTCGCCGGCTCACCTCGCGGTCTTCGCGCGAGCACAAGGCAGGCACCTCAAACACCCTAAAGCCCAGCCTCACCTGGCGTGGTCGGGCCGTTCCTCCGGCCGTGGCAGCTCAACCGCCACCAGCCCCCTCTCCCCGCCCTTTCCACTCACGGTGCCCCCAGCCGCCGCCGCCGCCGGACTCACGCGCCCCAACGAAACATCACCACCACCGCCACTATTTCTACCCGTTTCCACCACTGCGGCGGCGGCGGCGGCGGCGGCGGCGGCGGACCGTGACTCCCGTACCGCGACAGAGAGCGCGTGCGAGAACTCGGGGGGCACGTCGTCGAAAGGCGGCGCCGCCGACCCGCCGACCAAAAACCGCCGGGTGACCCACACCCTTCCGCCGCCGGCGGCCCCGGGGCCCGGAGGAAGAGCGACGGCGTAGTCCACCTCCGCGACCGTGCCGGAGGCGGAGAGGGCGAGCCTGGCGTTGCCGCCGGCGGCGCGGACCTCGACGCTCCCGTCCGCGCCACGAACGACAAAGGTGCTGCTGCTGTTGCTTGTGCTATGGCGGCAGGTTGGCTCCGCGGCGGCCGGCCAGTGAGCGATGCGACTCGGCGTCCTCCTCCTCCTCCTCCGCCTGCTGCTGCTGCTGCTGGTGCCGTTACTGCTGTGTGTTTCCTGCTCGAGCGTCGCGTGTATTCTTTGCGAGAGGTAAGGGCGGGGGCTGTGGGCGTTCCTGAAGCTGGAAACAGCGGCCACGTGCGGGATGAGGTCCCGCCGGCAGAAGTCCGAGAGCTGACGGTGGCAGGTTCCATCCTGAAATGGGACGGGTGGGCGCGTGGCCGGTGGAGGCAAGGGTATCAGGGGAGAAAAGGGTGTGGGCCAAGCACGGTTTTGGGGACAGGTTGAGTTGAAAACGCCAGACGCCACTCATTGCCGCAATTTTCTACGCTACTAGTCTACTGCTGTACTTCATTACCAAAGCAAATCTGTACTACCAAAGCAAATCTGTACTGCACTTGGTTGACTGTAAAGCAAGCCCGGTTTACATGGCACGACTGGACCGCCTATACAAGCACCGTCGGAAACATCCGGGCAACGTATTGCCAAACGTGCGTCATTGGTTATCGGCAAACCCTGTACTATTTATTTGTAGTCGAGATGTCAGATGCGATATTTTGTAGACCAGGGGGTATGATATCTCACGCAACATGCGGCGTCTCATGAGCTCAAGCGTTCACAATTCACACGCGCTGGGTGCCTGTCTGTCGAACAAGCAACGTCACTCTGGAACTGAAAGCGATTGATCGGGACGGAAGCAATTGAGCGCCAGGCAACGCTCGCTGTTTGCACGCGTGCTGCCTACTTTTGTAGCAACTCTGCTGCTGCGGTTGCACCTCTCTCGTTTGTGGAACTAGCTGTGGTCAAGGAGAGCGCCCCCCCCCCCCCGTTTGCTGGCAATGTCTGCTGGGAATTTCGGTTATGCATGTAGCACCACGCCCTGATTTCGACTCTAACTAGGATTACAGCTGTGAAACCGTGTCGTTGATAGTGGTGATCACCAACGCAGTCGCGAGAGTCCAACCGTTGCTGAGAAAGAAGACCATCCATGGCGTTTGGAGCTATGCATATGTATGCGTTATAGCCTCGATCGCTCCATGTGCGGATTTCGGGTGATGATGATGCCGCGCATATTTATCAGCAGGGGAGTCATCATCCGGATGACCCATGTCCCTCACAGGCCTGCCAGCCAGTCGAAGCAACAACAGCGTACAGTCAGCCTCACCTGGCGCACTTCGGCGAAGCATGCTCCGGAAGGCTCTAGCACCACTGCGGAATTACCACGCTCGTCGCCAGACTGCCGTGTATGATGATCTCCATCATCTCCGAAGACTGCCAGAGCTGCACCATTTTCGAACAGCAGGCAGCGACGGGGCTCTGTCATCTCTCTCTCTCTCTTTCTCTCTCTCTGCGCCGCACTCTTTCCAGCAGCAGAAGGGCGGCCGTGATCAGAGGAGCTGCGCCTGGCCCACACACACACAAGCCGAAGCAGACTTGGACGTGGTGCTCCACGAAGCGAGAGAGCCTGAGATGGTTATAGTCTACAGTCGAGAGACACCGGGTTTACAATTTACAACGGATGTTTCTGTGTTTTGAATTTGAATTCGCTCAAATACCCCCCCCTCCCCTGCCGAGTTCCCGGTGCCCCACGCCGCGTCGTTCATGTTTTCATCTTTCTCATGCATGCGCGTATCTGGTGGGAAGGGGGTGTGCAGCGCTTCGGGCACTATTTCTCATAGGAGAAGTGCGTCCGAGTGTCCGAATCCTGACGGTAGCATCGCCCCAAACCCTCGTAGCACTGAGCAGCCCAGACCAAATTCCCCCGCTTTGTAGCCACTCAGCACGCTTCTCAAGCAACCTTCTGCTCGCTGCCACCTAACCGCCCCTTGGAGAACAGAGGTACGTCGGGATTACACAGCTGGTGAGGTTTTCTGGCAGCAAGTTTCTGTCGGGTGCTGAGTAGCAGGAAGTACGATGGCAGTTGCCGAATGAAGTGGCGACACCATGACCGGAAACTGACCGCTGTTCTGCTGCCATGAGGGTCTTTCTCGAAGTCGTCCACGCATGCATGCATGCATGCAGTCACGCGTCCGTGCCTGACTGCCTATCTACAGTAGTAGTAAATCAACATTGTTACGACAATAAATTCCTTTGAGAGGACGCCCCTTACGACGCCTACACATGTGGTACCACAACTTTCCTTGTGAATGAGCACTCCCGGGGTGGACGTGTCCTCAGAGATGTTTTTCACCTCACCACGGAAACAATGAGGATGTATGTGATGAGTTCATTGCGGGTGACACAGAGCGATTCCCTCGGGGGATACCCAACACAGAGAAACACACACCACCATCACCATCACCACCGCCACCATCGTTTCTTGCCGTTCTTTAAGCCACTGATGGGAAACGTTCGTATATGGACGAAGGGAATAGAGGGCATCACATGGGCAGCAAATAACGCGACGACAAGATGACAATAACGACAACAATGACAACAACAACATCCTCCGCGACTCACCGTGTTAATTGCCACTGGAGAGAAAATTCCTTCCGGTTTTCTTCGGTGAACGCACAGCTCGCATCCGGAGGGTGGGCAAAAAATTATGCGGTGGTGGTATGCTAGGCGAAGAGTATAGCTAGCTGCACTACTGCGAACAAAACGTGTCGTGTAGAAGAGAGCTTCCATTTAGTACCGGTAAATGTTAGGTGTATCGTGTGGGCTCTCGCGATAAGAAACCCGAGGGGGGGCGATTGTGGGTCTTTCTCAACCACGCGGGAGGATTTGAGCCGCCCGCACACTGTTTCGCCCGCTGTTTGGCTCACTGAATGACGCCTTCCGATGCATCTCGTGTCGCCCTCTCCGACACATAAAAGCAGCTTCGCCGCGTCCGATGTATAGTCTATACTACTAAGTTAGTTTATGTTTTTGCTACCCACGCCACGCAATACTCTCAAATGTTCCGCACTCACCAACCACAGAGAGAGGCGAAGAGAGGAAATTCAGGTTGTACCAACATCCTACCGTGAACAACAATCGAAAGAGATGCTTTGCCGCTAAGAAGGGGTATATACAAACGCGAAGAGAAAGCAAACACATAATAACCTGCCAAGGACTAAGAAATACGATACGCGCGGCGAATATGATTATGGGAGATGTTACAACAGCTGCACCACAAAGGTTCGTGAAGGTGCAGGGGGGAGAACACACCACCCGCGGACGGTTCACAAGGTACTACTATACTGCAGCATGGAAATCAAGGAATGCCATCTTCCAAACACGCTGGGGGCACCAAAGGAGAATGAATGCGTCTGATGGCGAAGACGTATTGTACACCGAAAGACACCAAGAGAGAAAGACATTATGAGAAATACCTTGCCAGCCTGTAGCTGAGCATGGGACGGGTTTTCACCCGGGGATACCCGTACTCTCTACATATTACCATACACACGGGTATGTATTTGGTTACAACACTGTGCAGTAACGACCGCGTATCTACCAACAACGGGGTTCCAAAGGACAAGAGGGGGCAATAATTACAACCAGACAGATGGAAAAAAAGTGTGACAGGAGAAGGAACAAAGGGAAGAAGGATGACACTTTTTGATAACAGAAACAAACCCTCCCAGCGACGGCTCGGATGAGAGTGAGGCGTGTCGACAACAGCACTCTAGGAATGAAACGAAGGATCTCCTCGAAGGGGAGAACTCGACAACAGACAGACACCGAAACACAACAAGACGCAAACGACGGCTCTCAAAAAAGCCAGAGCAAGGGCTACGGAGACGGACAGAAAGAGAGAGAGAAGCTTTCTGAGGCGTGTGGCAAAAAACTGCCCAATCCTCTCATTGAGGTCGACAGGTTGGAAGATGCCATAGACTACCCAACGTGTACAGTAGGTACATGTGATTCACCACGACGTCCACAACAGTTATAAGACCGGAAACCTCTGCGTTGTTTTCAATAGCGAAAGAGAACGGACGGACCACTCGTCCACGGCTGGACCTTGCGCACACTGGAAGGAAACAGGGGGGTAACAACACCAACGTTTGGTATAAGGCGACTGACTGTGATGTCAAGACTACCGGTTGACAACAGGGCCATCATGTTCTTGTGGTACCTCCTGAGTTACCTCGTGAGTCGAAACTCCACCACATACAGGTTAGCGTTCGCACTAGAGAACTCGGCAGTTGAGAAATTGATATAGCCTCGAATGACTTGAGCACTGTTTGCGAGCCCAGATAAAGAGCCCTTATAACAAATCCTACATACAGCGGCCATTTCTAGCGTATCCCTAGGAACGAAGGACCCCATCCTCGACCACACCTACAGGTTCTTAAGTAAGTGCAGGCGCTAGCTGTACCTCCTCCTCCTCCTCCGTTGTATTTACAGCCATACGCGCTCTTAGCCACGGTTGCAGATTCTGCACGGATGTCGAGAGGCGCACGACACACGCAGCAGTAGGGCAACAACGAGGGAGCGGCGCTGAAGTGATTCGGACTGTGGCGACGATGAAAGCGCGGTAATACACAGCCTTGTTCGGGACATTCGACGTAATGTATCCACCTACCCTAGAGCAAAGCAAGCTGCTCTCGTGTTTGTATGTGTGTGGGTGTTTTCCGTCCTATTATGGCGACAGTCCCCCCATTTTTCGTGGTGAGACGTGCACTACACTCTTCAGTGTATGTAGAGTACTGCACTTTCCAGCTTATTTTTTCGTACAACTACAACCACCCAGGGTCACACAGGAGGGGGTAAACACCAGGACTTTTTCTTCCTTGTATTTATTTTCGTGCCCCACCTTCCTCCTCTCTCTCGTGGAAGGAGAAACTGGCGTTCGGGAATCATTACAATGGGGTGACAGGGGGAGCGAGCGGCTTGTGGCCGTACACTCGTATCGCGGGTGATGAGCGGTGGCATCAACTAATCTATCTGCTCGCTCTATCTCTGTCTCTCTCTCTCCAATCTCTGGCGGAACTTGTGCTTGGCATGCCAACCCTTATCGAAACCTGCGCTGCCCCTGGCGGTTGACCAATTCCCCAACGTTCCCGCCACAACAACTCTAGGGTTAGGTCAGAAAACAATTTGTTTGTGTTCGCGTCAACCCGTCTGAACAAGAAACTGCCGTTTGTACGAGTAAGGCCACCAGGCCCCAGCAAGCTTAGGGTACGTTCGTCCGAGCAACGACAGACAAAAGAGGGCTCACTTCCACAACAACATGACAACACGACCGGTCATTTGACTCAACAAAAAAAACGGGGTCGGTCTGCTGCTACAGCAGACAGACAGACAGACAGACAGACAGAGAGGGCTCACTTCCACGACAACATGACAACGCGGCCGGCCGTCGACTCAACAGCAACAAACCTGGGTCGGTCTGCTGCTACAGCAGCAGTTTGAACACGCACCTAAGAACCACTTATTTCGGCCGAGGCTCGTTTCTGATTTTCACAGCGACTTTATAGGTTCTAGTGTACGCTCGCTTCTTGACTAAACACGTGTTCTTATTTATATTATCCAGGCTCTTGAAAAGTCACTATGTTTTGAGTCTGGACTTTTTAGCTCCCACGTTCTCAAGCGCGGGGGCTAACCGTACAACCGCAAGTGACTCCAGAATCAAGCAACGATTTTTTTCCAACCCACTGTAGAAAGAGTTCAACACATCGCTTTCGACTACTACTGTGGTACATGTTACATATCTCGAATGTGTAGTCTTTCTGTGAGATTATGCACACTTCCTAAAAATAAAGACACACGCACTCACTGGGATAGATCGCGGACGGCGTGGTCGCCGCCGGAGTTAGTGTTGCCGCTGAAGGCCACGCCGTCGTTCACGGTGTCCCCGTTGATGCGCCCCCCCTCGCCCTTGAACCGCTCCGCGTAGACCCCGGTGTACGACTTCTGGTCGCAGAGGCGGTCGTACACGCCCCCCTTCTTGTTGGCAGAACCCGCGATCTGGCGATGACAGGGGAGCCACAAGAGAGGGTCCGGGGTGAGGGTTTTAGACGGGAAGGAAAGGCTGTCAGCTGGTTGTCATTCAGGCCAGTTGATTATTGGCGTTTGATTGACACAGGTGCTCGTTAACGATGCCCGCCCTTGCGTCAGCAGAAACGTGGATATATTGGGGTGTGCCACTTCCGAGAGGGGCGGATGGAGGGTGAGGGACCTCGCTGTTGCGTGCCCAAGCACCAGGTACGGAAGGCTTGTCACGGGGCAAGGCTACGGGACTCCCGTTTTTCACTAGGATACCGTACGCTCTGTTCAGCTGATTCTCACATGTTTTAGCCTCGTGGAGACCATTTTCTTGTGGTATCTCGTCTCCAGGAATCCGAAAGAAAACACCATCACTACCATCAACGACAGCAACAGCAACAGCAACAGCAACAGCAACAACTAGCATCAGGAGCACCAACAGGAGGGGAAATAGAACGTGGAAGCCAGCCGACGTTTCTCACCGTGCCTCCAGCCGCGGACAGGGAAGACTTGCGGCGGTCAGCGCCCGTCGCGGTGCCCCCAGACGATGATCCGACGGAGCCCCTGGACGCACGCTTGGGAGCGGCGTTTTGAGCCGCGGCATTTGGAATCATGGGCGACACCTAGAGGATATGTAGCCGTCCGAGAGGTGCGTGGGCGCGACGAGGAAATTGTTGTGATTCTGGTGCCAAATTGCAGTGGGGGGTCGGACGCGACAAGAACAACGATAACGATAACGATAACGACCGCGCGAGACAGCGCGTCGTCGTGCTTTCTGCTCTATTTCTTCGTCAAGATTCTACCTAGCGGGACACACCACGAGCGACGCCAACCCATCAATTCGGCCTACAGCGCGGGGCAGGTCGCGAAAAATAAAAGCACACGCACTTTCAAAACACACTATGATTCGCAGCACCCCCTTCGCGATCACACCCTCGCGTTTGCGAGGGTCCCGACCGCGTGCTCGGTGTGTTGTTTCTGGGAAAGATGGGAGCTTGCCTGAAACAGTCCATCGTTGTTGACGGTGTGTGTGTGGGGGGGGTGTATGTGTCTTTATTACTAGCATCGACCGCGCTAACCGGCTGACCAATGAAAAGACGTCAGTCTCAGTGCGGGTGAAAACCAAGAACACATCCTAAATGCCATTAACTGGTGTTTGTGTTTGCATCTATTCCAGCGCCGGTTAACAGGCCTTTCGGCGTATATACCTGACGTATCAGCCAGGGTCATACAAGAGGAAGGTCACACAGGACCTTTTTTCTTTTTTTCGTTTTGTTTTGTTGCCCCCCACCTTACCCCCTGCGGTGCTTGCCTTAGTTTGGGTTAGGATTTTAGTTTGGGTTACGGTTAGAAAACGGTTTCATATGTTGCCTCCCACTCACCACCGCCGATCCGGCAGCGATGGAGCCGCTAGAACGCCTCCTGCTGGCGTCGTCGTTGCCGTCCATCGAAGGGCGGTACACCGCGTTCGGATCGAGCTGGAATCGAGCAGCAAAACGGGTCGTAGTTGTGGTGGTGGTGGTAGCGGTTGTTGTTGTTGTTGTTGGGTTTTGCCGAATTTTCTCTTGTGGTTGTGGTTGTTGTTCTTGTTCTTGATGTCATTTTTGTTGTGGTGGTGGTGGAGGTGGTGGTTGTTGCTGTTTTTGTTGTGGTCACTCTTGTTGTTGTTGTTGTTGTTGTTGTTGTTGTTGTTGTTGGTGGTGGTGGTGTGGCTGTTGTCGTTGGCGCGGCTGTGTTGGTGGCTGGATTGGTGGTGCTTCTATTTACAACAGGCATAAAAGAGGCCGTCGTGTGCATTCAAAACACAGTACTTGGACCCTCTACAACAAGAAACGGCCCCAAAACTTCTAATGATATCCCCGGTCACTCCCGGCTGCGTTCGCCATTGGGAACGCACTCTGAAACCGCCCTCTCGAAGCCAAGAGGGGTGTTGACGCAGCAACTCTAGATCCCACCACAGCCGTGTGCCGGATCAATACCCTTCGGGTAGGTGGCCACCGGGTCATCGATGAATCCTGCTTGGAAGTCAGCAGGTTCCAGATATTCGGGGGGTCTGTGTATAGATTCACCTTGTAAACGCTAGCCTGGACGCCACGGACGTCGGCGGAGCCCCTGTTGGCAAGGCTCTCCAGGCTCACTCGCTGGTCCACGTGCGTCGGTCCTGGAATTTAGCGGTTTCGAGCGCGCGTGTGTGTGTTTTCATTGTGGTAGAAGAACATGGTTCTTTTCGAGAGGGTTGGGGGTAGCGTTGAGCTATACCTTCTTTTGTTGCCAGAGGCCACGGCATGATTTTGGTGATAATAGCCCAGCCCCTGGCTGCTGAAGAGGTGGGTATGTGCGTCCGGGGGGGGGGGGGGGGGTGTACTCATAGTCGTGCCTGCCGTAGTCGTTAGACCATTGACCTCGCATCGGGATCCCTACAAAGCCGGGACGGAGCACGCCGGGTTGTCACCGGACCAGGCTCTCACATCACCAAGCGCGAAGCACCGTGAGGTATTCGGCGAGTCGCATGAAGGGTGCGCTGCATCCTGCTAAGGGTGTTCGGCATCTTGTGCTTACTTCCTTGCGTACGGATGACAGCTGCGTATGACTTAATTTATTTTCTGGTGCTTTCACTTCCAGAGACAGTTACAAGCACTACTGTGTAACTGCCTCGAGGGTGCTTGACCAATTGAACACAATGTGGTGCGATGATCCCCTTTGCGCGGAGTGAGGGTTCTCCACCCCGCACAACATAATGTTCTCGACCACCATTCATGGATACCACAAAAAAAAAATCCATAGGCAAAAGATATGCGGTAACCTTGTTGCCGAGCTCACGAAGTGATCGGCTTGTTATACAACGTCGTTGCCAATGCGACGAAAACTCAACCCCGACGGCAAACACCGGGGGGGAGGGGCGAAAAAAAAACGAAGCTGCCGGGAATTGAACCCGGATCTGATCCGTGACAGGGATCAATTCTAACCATTATACCACAGCTCCTTCGCTGGAGTAGAGGGGGGCGTGAGACATTTGAAATAAACAACATGCGTCGTAGTAACTATCGTATTGGACTAATATCGATGGAACATGAAGAAAACTGAGATTCCCAACCTCGTTAACCATGTCCAACCACCCTCATCCACGGGAGATACGTGACCAGGCGCGTACAAGTAAATCCATGTTGAAGGGCACCGCCCGTATCAACGCCATGGGAGGATGTCGACAAGACCGCCCACCCTCCCGTGGAATACTTTCCCAAGGTATCATCCGAGGCACGGTTCAACGGAAATCATGTTTATCTCGTTCCATGTCGACACCCAATGGACATACGCACTTACTGTAGGTTTGAACCGTCCATTTCGCTACTACGCCGGGCAAAAAAAGAAAGGGAACACGGACGCAACAATACAAACAATCGCGCGGCACAACACACCACACCTCCGGCGGCGTGCGATCCCGTGTAGGTGCTCTTGTCGTCGTGGAAGCGTGAGGCCTGCGCCACCGTTCCGGAGGAGCTCACCCCGGTGACCGAGGCGATCTTGGACATGACGGCGCTCTCGTCAGCCCCGAGCTTCGCCGCCAGGTTGGCTATCGCGAACTGCATGTAGTAGCATAGTAGAGCACCCAAGCATACGCATGCATGCGGTGGTAGACGTGCCCGTGTGGGAGGCGTCTCTGTGTGTGCGCACGCTACCCGGGGGATACTCATGTAAATCGCATGCCGTAGTCGGTAGGCCGCTGACCTCGCATCATTCCATACAACGCCGGGACGGAGCGATACGCCGGGTTTTCGTCGGCCCAGGCTATGTTTCACAAGGGTGAGCCAGACCCTACAAATAATCCTTATGTTTGTATCGGGGGGGGGGCGTACTCATGATTGTGTGGGGGGGTGGGGGGGTCAACAAACCGTACCACGGGACGGGTCCGGGTTCAGGTATGTCGCTTGTCCGTCGCGAGGTTCTCGTGCTCGGCACGACCGGGACTTGACTGCCTCGCCTCAGGAAAACGCACATCATAATCAGGCCGCACGCCGACCTTTACCTCCCGCCGACCGTTTAGCTAAAACTCCATGATTTGGTTGTCGTCGTGATCGCGCATTTTGATTGTCCTACCAGCAGCCCTTAGTTCGTCTTTCTCTCCCAACACGCAAAATCCCAGACGAATGATTCAGAGCTGTTGTGGGGCCACGTGCTACTGCTGCATTCCTGCTCGGGTGTCGCACACAAAGTCTTTCGACGGCACGTCGTCGCGGTGAGCTATCGTCGGTTTGCTGTCGTTGTCGTTTTGGGCGTAACATCCAAAAGAGCGCTTTCTTCAACCCCTAGACTCTAGACTACCCCGTCGACCCTGACCCCCCACAAATCCCTCGCAGCTTTTGCTCTGCAAACAAAAAAGCAAAAAACAAAAAACTCGGGTGAAACTGTCAGAGAGCCTTATTAATGACTCGCGGAAAGCGAAAATCCGTTTCCTTTCGTACCTTGCGGAAGGCATCGTAGTGGATCTTCTTCACGCAGCCCGAGCTGGAGCAGGTCTTGGTGAAGATGAGGTCGCAGTCCGTGCGGGTCAGGCTCTTTCCGGTCAGGCCGCTGTCGCCCATGAGCTTGAAGAACTTGGCGCTGTCCATGTCTCCGCTCGCCTACCCTCGCGACGGCGAGAACGAGGAGGAGGATCATCCGGGGGAAGGGGAGGGGTACTCATCTACACGCATGCCGTAGTCGGTAGACCGTTGACCTCGCATCCCTTGCAGAGCCGGGATGGAGCACGCCGGGTTCTCACCGGGCCAGGCTCTCACATCACCACACATGTGAAATACTTATCGAGCCGCATGGAGGGTGCGCTGCATCATCCTACTAAGGGGGGGTCGTGTAGCCATGTAAACGCATGCCGTTGTCGGTAGACCCATTGACCTCGCATCCCTGCAACACCGGGGCGGAGCGACATGCCGGTTCTACGTATGCCGTGGTCGGTAGACCATAGACCTCGCATCCCGGAGCGGAGCTACATCCCGGGTTTTGGCCGGCCCAGGGATAAACCAGAAAACTGGAGGATCATCAGGAGGGGGGGTGTACTCATAGTCGTGCATGCCGTAGTCGTTAGACCATTGACCTCGCATCCCTACAAAGCCGGGACGGAGCACGCCGGGCTCTCACCGGACCAGGCTCTCACATCACCAAGCGCGAAGTGCCGTGAGGTATTCGGATCATCAGGGGGGGGGGGTGTATTCAAGGTTTGGTGCTGACTTAGGTGCTGTGTGACACTGCGGTGTTTACGTGCCGGCTTGCTTACTGCCACGGGGGAACACAAAAGTCGTTTTCTTACCACCGTTAAAACGATCATCCCCGGGGACGGTCTTTTCAACAATTATGAAATAGTGCCGAAACACGGAGGCGGTCGCCGTGCTTCATCGACACCACTCGCTCCGGAATCGGTAGCGTTCGAGCTACAACGCACCAAAAAAATGACAAACTTCAGACTGTCGGTTGAAAATATCTCACGATAGCACCATGCCGTCTTTGATTTATCTCCACTCGCCTGCTCTCGCAGCAAAGACATAGACACGGAATCGGGGGCACGAAAAAGGCTAGGCTTAACTACGAACGCCTTGCTAAAGCCTATCCCTTCCGCTTTCGTAGGCTATATCCACAGTTACCTTTGCGACGCTGGAAGCGAAAGCCACGAACACATCCGCGACCCGCTGCTCCACGTCCTGCACGCTGCCGTCGGCGCCGATAGCGGCGGGACCGATCGGGCCGATGCTGGCTGATCCGCGCGGTGCGGCAGAAGACGAAGACTTGCGTGGGGCGGCGGCAGAGGACGAGGACTTGCGCGGGGCGGCGGCAGAGGAAGCGGTAGCCGTCGCCGCTCCCTTGCCTTGGGTGGATGACTTCCTTTGGGCTGTGGTTTTGCCACCGGAGGCACGCCGCGCCGTCTGTATTTTATAAAAAGGAACGACATTGGAAATTTCTTGGTCTGGCAAGATTGACCTTTTGGGGGTGGAGGACCATGTGGTTGTTTACGGGGTGTGTGCCCATAGCCGTGCATGCCGTAGTCGTTAGACCTTTGACCTCACGGGAGGCGGTATTCTTGCGGTGTTGGGTGTGTAAGTTTAGTGTGATACATCATTTGTTTGAGGCAGAGACTCCAGGGCACGACGGACAAGAGTTTCGTGTGTTAGGAGTGGTTTGGAACAGCAGCCGATGTGTTGCCTGTTCGACCGAAGGAGAAGCAATAGCTTCCGCCGTCAGTCTGGTCTTCTCGACGAGTATTGGTTGTTCATGGTTTTGGCTTCCTAGCTGCTGTTTGTCGTACCGAATATCTGTACCAGGAGCACGCCTAGGGGAAGGGTACATCACGGTAGCCCAACCCACAGCTACATATATGTTCCATCGCGACATCCTGGTGGTTTGCTTTTTCTAGGTTAGATGTGGTACCCGCAAAGCTATGTGCTCGACGGGCTATACTTTGGGGTGATCGGGGGTACCACAAGGCTATGTGCTCTACGGACTATACTTTGGGGTGATCGGGGGCTGCGCGACCTCTTACCTCCCCCTGGCTGGAGCGCCTAGGGACCGCCGAAGAGCCGCTGCTGCGGGAGTCGTTCTGGTACTCCTTGACCCCCCTCACGTCGGCGCCCTCCGAGCGGTCGAGCTGGTTCGCCATGTCGACGTTGTGGCCGTCGATGTTGGTAGGCCCGCCTGTGCCGCAGCGGGTCGGCGTTCGTTGCAGAGAGAACGAAGTCAGCGTGGGTGTCAAACGTTAAAAACAATGAGCGAAAAAAGGTTCCAGCGAAAAGAGCGATGTGGCTCAGATGCGTAGCAGCTCCGTCGCCCGCGCTCTACGAGCAGTTCGGTCTTCTTGTCTACAGAATAACGCCGGTGTTTGTGGCGATCGGGTAGGGTCCGCACCGTGCCGGTGAATGAGGCCGAAAAAGCCGAACGAACAATTCAGTCGGCGACACTATCACAAGGGGAGAAACACAGCCACCACGATAGACATTGCAAGGTGATACCGCCGCCAATCGGCGGTTGTACCACGGCATACCATATTCCCGCAGCAGCCTTGGTAGGCCACTCCCGCTATGTCCACAAGCGAAGAGAAAGACACACACACCACCTTCTGCACCGCGTACGGCAGACGGAAACACGACCTCACCGTTGTTGTGCACTCCGGTGAAGGTGGACTTGTCATCGTGGAACCGCACGTTGTCGGCAACAGTGGCCGCGCCGGTTCTGCCCAGAGAATACGTGGGAGCGGAAAAGATACGGGAGGGCAGATAGATAAGCACGCGCTGTTCCGTGTTATTGTTGAACCGGACAAGCACACTTGTTTACAAAATCCACTAGCGGTGTCGTTGCCAATTCAAAGGTTTCCCACGGAAGCTAGTCGGGTTGAAGGAACGCAACACGCAACTTCCTGAGTCACTACTCCATAATGAGTTTTTTTCACCCGAAGCCGTCAAGGGGGGGGGCGGAGGCGAGGCAACCTCTGGAAATCATCTGGTCGGCGTAAAGGGCACTCAAAACCATTAGCCCGCGCTGATACCAGTGTTTTTCTCACTGGACCCCGTACCCTTTGCCCCAACTACGCAATGATTTCTAGGTGTGACTGCAGGTAGATCAGGACATCTTGATGACGACCTCCCGCGTCGGCTAGACACGGCGCAATTCTTCCAGGGTCACTGGACAAAGGTTTAAGCCAACCATATCACGGCCGTGGGAAACGGCGCGGGCTGCTGGACCCCCCCACCACGCGCAAGGGCCTTGGCATTCTTATGATGAACGATCTTGTTGGGATTGTGTTTCCGATTCGTTCGAGCCGCTCTATGGACCCATTTTCCCTTGCTTGCCTCACCAACGCCTTTCTGCTCGAACTACAGAATAAGCAACCTGCACCACCGGGGGAGGATTTCACTTGCGCTTGCGTTATGACACCATAACATCGAAGAAGGATCCCTCTTCAGCGTAGCGCAGGGTGCTATAGCCCTCTTCTACTGTCTATCTGTCCGTCCGTCCGTCCGTCCGTCTGTCTGTCTGTCTGTCTGTCTGTCTGTCTGTCTGTCTGTCTGTCTCCCATCCTTCCTCCCCCCCGCCCCCCGTCTCTCTTTCACCTCTCACTCACTAACGCGTTCGTTGTTCATCTCACGTGGGGCCCTTGGCGGAGACGATGAGGAGGATCACGTCGTCTTTGCTCTTGCCGAGCTTCTCCGAGATTAGCTCCACGGCCTCCACGAAGGTGTCGAAGTTGATTTTCTTCGCGGTCTTGTCCTGTCCGGCGGCAACATTCGACGCGCCGTGCGGGTTGGGGTCATGGCTGTACCTCTCGTAAAGTTGGAAATCACCGCTTCTTAGGAGAACATTTAGGAGGACATTTATCTCCGTCATGTAAACTAAGAAAATAAGGTTGTCGTGCAACCCCCCAGCCAGTCCGCATGGATCAGAAGACCAGCTACACTTCTTCCACTGTGAGCGTAAAGTGAGCATGGGAGAGAGTCAAGGGTCGCAGGCCTGGCGAGGCAGGTTCTAAAGGTTCCTACCGTTGAACGTACGATGTCCATTTCTGTTAGGGGATTGACGAAGCTCTGCCCGGCAACCGACGCGGCACGCACTCTTTTTTCAAGCCGCGTTGGACAGCAACATGGTAGCGGCAACATGACCGTCCGCTGAGTAGATTCGTCATATCGCCGTTGCCCGAGGTTCTATACCACCACCGGGGTCACATGCTCGAACTCTGATACCCAGAGTTGCTGGAGGCTTTGAAAGGCAGAGGCAGCTTCTCATCGACAATCCTGGCTCTGGACAATCATAGGGTAATGGAGATGTACGTTCGTGGGCAGTCCATGGCAACGACCAGAGTACAGGGAACAATGGCAAACACGGTGATCTCTGACCGTGCGTGTACACAAAGACATCCCTGTGTTGCTTAACTCGTTCGGATGGTGTTCAGTTCGGATGGTGTTCAAGTCGGTAACGACACGGGCAGAACCTAACCTGCCTCCTGCTGGCGACGAGGATCGCCGCCGTACACAGCAAACAAAGCGGAGATGAACTAGAAGCTAGCGTGTAACCAAATCATGTCAAACAACCAAGAAGCTCCGGCGATGATACGTCAGCTGTGGCAAGGAGCAGCCCCTCGGCATAGTCGCGACGTATGCATTCCGTTCTTGAACGCGCGAGATTAAGTGATTCTTTCTTTTCCGTCCCCCCGTTGGTGAACACGATATTTGAACACAACACCACCACCACCAACAACAACAACTGTCTTGAAGCAGTTTATGAGTTTCTCCACTCCTTCTCAAAGAATATCCGTGACGAGTACAGGAAGGAATGCATAATGTCTCTGTACATTGTACCGGCACGAGCTTTCACCCGCGAACCATAGACAATTCTGCTCCTTGCCAGATTATCCTATATCTATCTGTGGCACAATGCCAACGCACGCAAGCACACTCAGCTTCTCTCCCACCTTGACTTTTGTGAAGATTAGGTCTAAGTCGGTCGTGGACAAGTTCTTGCCCACCAATTTGCAATCCTGCCGAAGAGGCACACGTGGCACGAGCATTTCTTTTTCAGACTAAAACCGATGATGATATGGTTGGTTGTACATAGTCTACACGAGTAGGAGTACCACTGCCTGCGTGTATACGCGCTGCTTGTACCTCGAGCACAGAGACTACTTGCACTCCTGGGCGATCTTGAGGTATCCGCCGTGTAGCGTCACTATGTGATGGCCGTGGGTCGTTTTCCTCTCTCTCTCTCTCTGTCTCTCTCCCTCGCTCTCCCCCTTACCCTCTTTACTCTTCGAAGCTGAACACTACGTACACCGGCACTCCACGTACGCATCCCGCTTGGTCCACGGCTGATACTTTGCAGCAGCTGTGTGTAAAAAGTTTCTCTGCCGCTCTCAGCGGCCCATGTTTTTCCTCGCTGTAGAAACAGCCCCTCTTGTCTATTAGGCTGTATTTTTTACTGCTGCCCGCAAATTCCTCCGGTCCGCCAGCGTGTGTACCTTCGCGAGCTTGACGAACTTGGCGGAGTCCATCTCCGACGACCCCGACTGGCCCGCCCCGAAGGAGGTGAAGTCGAGGAAGATCTGCTCGAGGGCATCCATGATGTCTGTCTTCGATACGTAGCCGCAATTTCCCTTTGTCGTTGCGGAGTTCGTCACGGACGCGGACACCGCTACTGCTCGTCCCTGCCTCAGGCCTCGCGCGCGGCATGATTATCCCTGCACACGATTTTCGCCGAAGCGGCACAAACCCGGGTCGGCGTGACGGTTCGGCATTGTTTTGCGGTAGGATAGGTTTGCTGCTCCGGTCCTCGATAGATCTTCGGTGAGTGCTTTTTCAACCGCAGCAAATATGAGGAGCACCCGAGAATAGTCTCTCTGATCATGGGATAATTGGGTCCAGATATCGGTAGGCTTGTTGTACAGCCATTGCGGTCCACCGTGTTGTTGCGGGTTGTGGATGCCATACGGCATTCGACCACTGCAGTAGTGGGGTGACACGATCACGGAGGAACGAGTTATGGTAGGGTCGCTCTTGTACAAAACACATCAGTATGGTAAGAGCGAGTCGCACACATCCCTGCATAGAACGGAAGACGAGAGACGCGCGTGGAAAAAGAACTTGAAAAAATGGCTCATGTGTTCCAGCTTTCACCAACCTGACGCAATGAAGGCTGCAAAGACGGAACCGAAGGCGGCCATGCTGCAGTCTTGGTGACGGACTGAGGCAGTCTTGTCTCTTCGCTCTTTCGGAGAACCGCAAATCCCGCAAAAGAACACGACCCCGTCGCAGATATTGTGGCAAACAGTCATCTCGTACGCCGTGAGAACTCTCAACAACCGTGTGCATAGACAGACGACGAAATACAGAGCTCCGTCACGAGCAAATGCCGTCTCAGCTGCGTGGTGTCCTTCTGTTTTCGTCGGCGGTGATGTTTTCTTCGGCAGAGAATGCTGTAGTTTAGTCTAAATCAAGGTCCGGCAACGGTTGTAGGGAGCAGACGCCCCACACGACGAAAGAGCAGAAGACAACCTCCAACCTGGCTTACCCAAGACTGTTGCACCAACAGGAGCTGCTGAAGCTTTAGGCACAGAAGCAATTGGATGCTCCCGCAGCGGATGCGCCCAACAAAGCAATGTGCGCAGGGGGTGGATGGGAGTCCGCCGTCGTGAAAAAAGTGTCGTGAGCCGATATCCCGGCCATATATGAACAGAGATCAAAGCCCTTGAACACACAGATAGACTCGTGGGTTGGTTTGTTTCAGAAAAAATAATATTGTGTTCGTTCCCGCTCGCCCCCCTTCTCTTCTCATCCGGCTCAAGCTTCAATGTTGCCCCCCCCCCCCCCCCCCCCCT